GACAGAATGTTTTTAATTGTGAAAAGACAGAAATTGCGTTAAATCTAAGGTTCTGTCGTTGGGATACTTAAGTCGCGCTGTCAAATGATGAAATAAGTAGTATGATTTCACTTAACAAATTTAGAAAAAAAATTCACCGCGAAAAACTCGAGCTTTAATTTTTTTTATTACAAAAAAGCCTCAATTAAGACTAACGTTACGTTGCTATGGCGACCCGTCATGTGATATTTTTTGTAAAAACTGAAACCTTGATTTACTAATATTAGTACAATGCGCAAAAAAGGGTCAAAACATACTTTGTTTTTTTTTTTAATACAGCAATATGTAACATGTACCTCAAAAGCCTTTTAACTATATGGAGCTACCTTAATGTCATGTTTCTTCTGTGATCAACATTTCGAGCTGAAACTTCGCCCTCCGGTAAAAGCACAGGTAGCCCAAGCATGGTTTCTGTGGTGTCATGTTATGAGGAAACGTATGGGAATTCTTCAAAAATTTCAATAAAATAATTGAAACGTGAAATAAACCCTCGACATTTTACCTTTTCATTGAGAAATGGCACTTCTTTCGTTCTGTGTGTTTATTTTTTGAATTTAGCCCGTTTTTAGGATTTTTTCCCCCACATACCTGTGGTATAAGCTTAAGGGAATCTATGGGAATTAGTAGAGAGATATAAGGTGAAATTGAATAAATTGCAACGAATATTTCTTGGGTCTTAGTCTTCTTGAGCCTGTCGAAGTCTGAGAGGCTAGCTTCCGGCGGAAATACGTCACGTCTGCAAAAATCTTGGCTACCCACAATACACCGCGGGAGATCAAGGTAAACAAGATGGCGGAAAATGAGGTGAAAATGTCGTAGAATTTCAAAAATAAAACTAAAGAAAAAAATGGAATGGGTTGGCGGTTCTACGAGGGTAGAAGACCAGGAGAAACACCTACTGCTTGAAAGATTCTACTACAGAGGTATCTACCACAATAAAGCTTTAAATCTTGCATTTTTTTTTCCGAATTCCTAGCTCTGTCTCGGTGCTGGAATTTTAGCTCTAAAATCTGACATAAATTAACTGAGATGCTGATTTCAGTCCCTAAAAGGTACGACCACATCTAAAATGACTACGTTTCCAACCATATTATTCTTGTATTACGCTTGATATCTTTCAAAACGAACAAATCTGACCCTAAAAGTCAGCCGGGAGTTAATAGCCGGAGAACATAAAAGGTATGCGAGGTCTCATTGTCGACCCTAACAGGTCCGTCGAGCACACCTACCCACTTTTCAAGAAAGTTCCACCCCCCCCCCCCTGGGAGTAGAAAGTACCCAAGTGACAGTCATGTCTGTAGGGGTAGTGCAATACTCCATTTTACAGTTCTGTTCAGTAACTAAGAATAATAGTTCCAAGTCGGGGCTGGAGTTTCCGCGCATAGCAAAACTATACTTTATATGTCATGCGCGGCAACTCCAACCTAGGCTTGAAACTATTATTTGTGATCGCTGAACAGAACTGTAAAATGGAGTATTGCCTCTCACCTCTGGGGTCTTGAATATAGGTATCTTTCATGATTTGGGAGTCTTTCTCCATGTTAGTTATTTTTTTCTCTTACCTCCTCAAAACCAATATGACCAATTAATTTTAAATTGGATCTGTTAGATAGCTATAATGCCTTGACTTAGATCAGTTCAGAGGTTGTTTCAGCCCGGTTCAATCTGGGAGTTTAATTTGCTCTACCCTGACCTAGATCAGCCAAGAGGGTTGTCTCAGGGTCTAAGCTTTGAGTTAGTCATCCTGACTTTAATCAGCCCAGAGACTGTTTCAGGGTTCCATCTGTGAGTTACCCATGCCCTGACTTAGATCAACCCAGAGGCTGTTTCAGGGTTCCATTTGTGAGTTACCCATGCCCTGACTTAGATCAACCCAGAGGCTGTTTCAGGGTCCCATCTGTGAGTTACCCATGCCCTGACTTAGATCAACCCAGAGGCTGTTTCAGGGTTCCATTTGTGAGTTGGCCATGCCCTGTGTACATATATCAGCCCAGAGGTTGTTTTAGGGTTTGATCTGTGAGTTAGCCATGCCCTGACTTAGATCAGCTAAGAGGCTGTTTCAGGGTTCCATTTGTAAGTTGACCATGCCCTGTGTACATATATCAGCCCAGAGGTTGTTTTAGGGTTTGATCTGTGAGTTAGCTGTGCCCTTACTTACATGTACTGTAGATCATCCTTGAGGTTGCTTTAGGGTTCGATCTATGAGTTAGCCATGCCTTTACTTAGATCACCCCTTAGACTGTTTCAGCATTTGATCTGTGAGTTAACTGTTTCCTGACTTAAATCAGTCCAGAGGTTGTTTCAGCCTGGTTCAATCTGCAAGTTTGCTCTACCCTGACTTAGATCATCCCGGAGGTTATTTAAGGGTTCAATAAAATTGATTAAAGCTTGATGTGTTTAATATTCTATTTTATTGGTGCAGCAATTATATTTTCCTGAACCTTCCAATCAAACAATTACATCTCAATTTAACTTTCAGTCAAAAATCAAATTCTTCAGTATCAAAGCGGCAGCATTGGTTTGTTTCCACTGTACCCCAAGACAGATGACAAGCAGAAAGCAAGGGAAAGTCATGTCAGGGAAAACATATACTGTGCTAAGGCAATATGGGCACTTGCACTGGCATTTAGGTAAAATAAATAATTAAAAAATAATTAAAGAAATGTTTCATTGTACATATAATATATTAACACCCTTGAGAATCGAGGGTGTTGTAGTGGTAGTGTACTCATCTATCACCTCTGCAGTCTAAGGTTGTATTCCTGGACCTGAAATGTATTTTATAAGAATACTAGTTGTAAAAGGGGAATTAAATAGGAAAACAAAGACGAGTGCAGTCCTAGTGCATTTTTTATTGATTTTTTTACTCTTTGTATTCTAAAAAGGCTCCCTGTGTTTTAAGAGTTAAATTTCTGAGTTAGTCATGCCCTGACTTAGATCAGCTTAGAGGCTGTTCCAAGGTTCTATCTGTTCATTATAGCCATGCCGTAACATAGGTCAGCCCAGAGGCTGTTTCAGGGTTCCATTTGTAAGTTGGCCATGCCCTGTGTACATAGATCAGCCCAGAGGTTGTTTCAGGGCTTAATCTGTGAGTTAGCCTTGCCCTAACTTAGATCAGCCCAGAGATTGTTTCAGGGTTCAATAAGATCTATGTTTTTGTTAATTTGCAAACCTTTGAGATACATGAAAAACATTTTAAAAGTTAACTTAATTGTTGTTAATCAAAGTAAGCCTGTTGCCATAACTAGACTTAATACTAACACGGTTTCTCTCATATACACATGTTTAGGCACATGGATGATAGCCAGGGAAGGAACTATGAACTACAGCAGAGTGCTGTCAAATGTATGCGAGGGATACTCTTCTGTTATATGAGACAGTCAAGCAAAGTAAGCAAGTACCGCAAATGATTGATATTGTTACAGCTGATAACTATGAAGTCAAATAATAAATTGAAGTCTTGTTGTCTAAAGTATTGTTCAAACTTCAATCGCTTTTTAAATATGCTTCTTATTGAAAATCGTAAGATTACAGTATATAAAAGACATCCTGACAGCTGTGTAGTCTATAAATTTTCCAATATTTGCCCACTCGGCATCCCATAATGTCTTTAAATCGAAACAATTGAATTCAAGTTGGCCCCCGTATCGGTAAAATGGTCTTACTATTAATAATCATGCCATTAAAACAAACAACAAAAAAGGATTAATAGTTGTCAGTGTTCATGTGTGTTGGCTGGCAGTCAATTACTTATAATATAAACATGAATACATATTTTACATGGCTTAATAGTGGGGGGGGGGGGGGGGGGTTGGGGGGCTATATATATGAAGATGCACATAATATTTCAGCTGATAACTCATGGTATTTCGGACATCTTGTGTTTTGAATTGACAGTTGGAGCTCTTCAAACGGAATCAAAGAAGTGAAAACTCACTGCATGTTATCTTTGATATTAACACTGGAGATGCTTTATACCAGGCTGACGTGGAATACCCACACCTACAGGTACATATCTAAGAAATACAACCCAGTTTTCCATTTGACTGTCAGTAGATACTCTGACCTAAACACTTGGGTTGATGAGAGGACGCAAGATAGCATAGCATCTCAGTATCCCTCATGTTAAATCAGTCCAGAGTATCTAAAACAGAAAACTGTTCTGTATCTCAAATTGTATTTCAAATATTCAATTCTTTATTCCCTTAGATTGATGTGGTGTCTCTATATTTATTAACATTAGCACAAATGATCGCATCTGGGTTACAGGTAAAATAGAAAATGTTCATTCATTGCAAGTATTAAAAATAGCCATGCTTTATGAATAGTGGGCAAGGTAACTGGTTGTTTCAATACATATCGCTTTTAATACATGTTGTTTCAATACATGTCATTTCAATACATGTCATTTTCATACAAAAATGTCATTTCGAAACATGATTTGAGTTATGCATCTTGAAGATATCAAGGTTTGTACTTCAAATATGTTAATGGCATGACGTCATTATAGGCATCTCAGTTTATTTGTTCTCATTTGTAAATTGAAACACCGAGTATTATTAGGTAGAAAGCAATTTTGCAATAACCTTTCTATAAACCCTGAGCAAGACATTGATGTTTCATACAGGATATTTTACTGCCCCAGAAATGTTTTGTATATTTAATAATGACTACAATGAAGTATATACCTTGATATCTTCAAGATGCATCACTCAAATCATGTAAAACTATTTTATCATTCAACTATTCACTTGATGTAGAATCAATATTGAAAATATTGAGTAAGGCGTTACCTTTAGAATGCATTGATTCTACTACAGACATTTTTCCAATTTTCAGCAATAATTACTGTTCCATGCTTTATGTCAAAAACAAATTTTAGCTTGTCAGACATAGCAACAGTAACTAGGGAGGTAGAATAATGAATGCGGGATCGGTATCTCGTCAAAAGTTAGGTGAAACCAAGGGAAAAGTTTGTCCTGGCGAAACGCACTGTAATACATTGTGACCTTCTTCTTACAGATCATTTATACCAGTGATGAAGTAAACTTCATCCAAAACCTTGTGTATTACATTGAACGTGCCTACAGAACACCAGACTATGGAACATGGGAAAGAGGGAGTAAAGAAAATGTAGGACACAAGGAACTGAATGCGATGTGAGTATGCAAATATTTGTTGGACCTGGGGCCATTTGTGTGTGGTACATTGTTGCAATAGGGCCATTTATTGTAAGGTTTGCACTAAGGTCATGTTGGTAAGGTACATTTTAAAAATCATTTCTTGCATGTTGCCGAAATGGGTACTTTTTCCACTTAGGCCCATTTCTTGTTGAATACCAATATCTTTTACTCCACAAAATGACCTTCTTACTAGTACGCATGCATGCATCTTCTCACATGTTATTACTATGGAGGCTTTGCACCATCACGTGATGGCAGCCATAAGAAACTGAATTCTTTCTCATGTAAATCAGATTAGACCAATCAATAGGCGACTTGCACTAACAGGTCACGTGACCCTACCTCAAAAACGAGCAGTTGTGTGAAAACGAACTTTAGAAATGAAAAGAGCAGCTCAACATTAGTAAGAGGGAGAAGTTTCAGCTCCTAATATTGACTATAGGAGAAATGCCATTAAATATAAAATCAAACACTTTATCAGGATTTGTATGGGAAAAGCGTTGGCTGGCAACCTCTTGCCATTCAGCGTATTTTCCCATACAAATCCTTATAAAGTATTTGATTTTATATTTAATGCCATTTCCCCTTCTCGCTTGTCATAAGCTAAAACTCCGCCACTCTACTAATATTGAGGTGCTCTTTTCATTCCGGATGTTCATTTTAACACAGCTGCTTGTCTTAAGGGAGGTAGAGTCACGTGACCTGTTAGTGCAAGTCTTACCTGCTTCCTGTCATGGTTTCCATCATGTGATGGTGCTAAGCCTCTATTCTCACTGAAACATTATTTAGGACTGAGCATATATTGTATAGTTTTAAGATATCTTCTATTCTGTTTTCCAGGTCCATAGGGATGGCTAAAGCAGCTTTAGAGACCCTCAATGGCTTTAATCTCTATGGTAGCTCAGTAAGTCGATATTGAAGAAATAGAAAACGCGCGCGCTTGCTGTGTGCAGTTGTAAAGCACGACGCATAGCGCAGTGCTTCTCGACACTTCTCGAGTGTTAACCGTAGACCTGCAAAACGTTGTACTAATTTGTTCAGTTATGTTAGTTAACTTTTTCACGGTTGCGTTTCATGCACTCTATCCCAATTTTTATAAAATACAAATTCCAGGAATGACGCAACTGAAAGTGCACGCGTGTGCCGTGTGCTCTCATAAAGCACACGTTCCCAAGCGATCAGAACGCGAGATTTAAAACAGTTATTTTATAATTGAATTTCTCTACAACAGTAACAAAGCTTTATCTCTGCATCCAAAATTGTTCTTTTATTCTTAATTTTTTGTTAATTGTTTTTTTTTTAAAATAAAATATGTAATTTGCTCCTCTACCTTGAGCGTAATGTTTGTCATTCCCTTGAGTATCATTTCTTTGTTTAACAGTTGTGCATGAGACAACATGAAATTGACGACTCTTAAAACTGCAGCATATGTTGGCTTCATTTCTGAGGTCGGTAAAAAAAAAATTAGAATAACAAAACAAGCAACACCTGGATTCAAGGCTAAGCCCGCATACACTGGAGTTTCAAGAGTCGTTAATATGGATACAACTCAAACGAATAATTTTATTCTCGAGGGAATGGCACGTGGTCTGAATAGAGGATTTGCATCATCACGTGCCCGACCGATAATATTGCTTGGGCTGCCTGTGGTTAGATGGCAGAACAATAAAATCCCTTTGCTCTCGGGAATTGAATTCTTATGTAAAACGATTGTTCCTGCCATCTAACATGGCTGCAGTCACGTGGTGGTGCAGAATCTCTATTGGGAAAATTAGAAAAGATTGGGACTCGAACCCAGGACTACAGCGGTGAGGCGGGGCACTTTAGCAGCCCATGCTTATATGCAATGATTAAATGATAAATCCAATGAATCTTTCTCTGTCTAGATAAATGACTAAATGATCCTTTCGATGGTTTTAGCGAACTTTAAAAAAACGTTCTCGCCAAGACGGGGTCGCTCCCTCCATCTCTCGTTACGACACTGTACCAAATATTTGAAGACCACAAGTTTCCCATTCTTAACAATAGCTCGTTTCTATGCTTCTTGTATCCACGAGTTAAAAACTGCCCTATTTTTTAATTTTGCCAATATAGGGTACATCATCGTCTGTGATCTATGTAGACCCTGATGCACATAACAGGAACAGTACTATTCTTCACTCCCTGCTGCCTGTAGCCTCGTCATCTAGGGTAACAGATGCCTCCATGCTTATGATCACTGGTTTCCCTTGCTTTGCTGTTGATGATAGTGAACTACGGCTCAAGGCTCAGGCCCAAGTCAAGGAAAAACTGGAGGTAATATAGATACTAGTATCTAGATCATGGTTGCTATATCATTATTATCATCATTAAATTTTGTAACCATCCTTATGATCATCATCATCGTCATCAGTCATCATCATCATTATTACTATCGTCATATTATCATCGTCATATCATTATCCTCCACCTTATGATCATCAATCATCATCATCAGTCATCATCATATTCAGACATCATCATCAGTCATCATCATCATCACCAGTCATCGTCATCATCGGTCATCAGACAGCATCATCATCATCAGTCATCATCACCACCAGTCATCGTCATCATCGGTCATCATCAGTCATCATCATCGGTCATCATCATCCGGCATCGGTCATCAGACAGCATCATCATCAGTCATCATCATTATCAGTCATCATCATCAGTTATCAGACAGCATCATTCTCAGTCATCATCATTATCAGTCATCAGACAGCGTCATCATCATCATTACCGTCAGTCATCATTATCAGTCATCATCATCAGTCATCATCATCTTCAGTCATCATCATCTTTATCAATCATCATCATCGTCAGTCATCATCATCTTCAGTCATCATCATCATCATTATCAGTCATCATCATCAGCCATCATCATTATCAGTCATCATCATAATTCATCATCGTCATCAGACAGCATCATCATCAGTCATCATCAGTTATTACCTATTATCATTACAACACAACTTGTACCATGCTTACACAACTATTTCAAAAAACGGTTGATCAAATGTTACATGTCATTTCTTGACTACCAGGCCCAAAATACACTATGCGCGATTTGAATCCAATTAGTGACAGTTCACAACGATATGGAATTCAGTTTCCCAAACTTTTTCTGCAACTTTATTTTCTTGCTTATTTTCTTCTTTGCTGACACTATTTACATATGAATATAATATTTTTCAAGTTTGGTAAACAACTGCAACATGCCACTAAACCTTCACCAACCTTATATATGGAGTAATGCCTACGTTCTCCGTATTTACTGTAGGCTCCTCTACCTTCCTTGGGTCTGCTACCAAACATGGGTATACATACATACATACATATATATGTAAACCGTTTATGCTGCGGGCCTAATTATTGAATATTGATCATAGAGGCTATACCCCTAGTAGTACGTAGAAATGCAGCTCAATTTGGAGGGCAAAACAATAGGTTTTCAATTCTCAGAAGATTGGAATTCACTTTTGTTTTGTCCTCCAAATTGAGCTCCTTTGACGTCACATGCAAGCGGTCTGTCGTCTCCGTTCTCGGCATTCACGTGTCTCTTACCAATAATATCAAGGGGTCTGTTGTCTCTGTTCTCGGCATTCACGTGTCTCTTACCAATAATATCAAGGG